GTCCCTTTGAGATCTGGAGTTTCCTGCATCCCAGTTGACCTTAAATACTTGGCCAGGGACAAGTCAGGCTCCAGCTCTGAGACTTGAACAGCACTGGGCTCTGGACCTGCAGAATTATCCTTCCACAGTCCTTCTCCATCCAGGCTATTCTCAGAGGCTTCCTCAGTGGGAGTCCTCTTCTTGCCCCAAGACTCCTTCCTTTGCTCCTTCTGTGCCACAGGATCATCCACTATTAAACCAAGCAAGAGCTGCCCAAAAGAAAAGCCCTTAGTTGTGTTTGATTCCTGTTGGGTGTCCCTGAGCATCTCCTCAGGGGAATCTGTGCTTTGTATCTCACAGGTGGAGCTGCTCATTCCTGTCTCAAAGACCTTTTCTATCCCAGAACCTTCCTCCTCAGCCTGATGCCCAGCCTGGGGCTTCTTTTCACGTGCAGCTTTTTTCAAATCGATGATGAAGCTGTCACTCTGGGAGTCTGTGGTCTCCAGTCGTTCCCCACTCTCCCACACATGTGTTTCCTGCACTCCTCTTTGGAAATCTGTTGTGGACTCCACCAGAAAACTATGAATTTGTCCCTCAAGTGAATCCTCCCCACAGACATTCACCTCTGACTCATTAATTTCTTCAGCAGAAGACCCCTCTTCAGCAGATATCATGATGCTGCCAAGGTCCCCATTAGGGATTTGCAAATCAGCCCTTCTGATTTCTCTTAACTGTGCCTCTTCCTGGGCACCGACCTCCTCCTGCTGCATCATGTAGCTCTGACACAGCTCCTCACTCAGAGACATCTCTTCCAGAAGCGTATCATGTTGGTGCACAGGGGAGATGAGCCCAGTCGCTCCTACGTCCACACTTTCCAGAGCTGTGGGGGTTTGTGCTTGTTCTGTGTCCACAGTCTCTGCAACTGGGAAAGGCTCCACAAACTTCTTCAGATCAAATGCGATATTGGTCTCATCAGTCTCAGATGGTAACACCTGCTCTTTGAAATGCACTTCTTCTAGGTGAACCTCAACTTCCTCAGTAAAATCCTGACCTGAGTTTTCTATGCCAGGAGGAGTGAGGATTAGATCCAAAGAAGAGTTGCCTGCATCAGACTCCATTTCTTGCAGTATTTGCCCATCATTGTGCATTACCCAGTGTGCGGCATCCCCAGCATCAATCATTTCTTCCTTACAAAGATGATCGTCAGCCTCGATGTCCTGTTCAATATCAACTGATTTCTTTTGCTCCTTGTCCTGTTCCTCCTGCTGCTCTTCTGTACAGAAGTCATAAAAGCCAGAGCGCTCCTTTGTGGGCATGCTTGCAATGTTGTCCTGCAGGTGGGGCACACTTGGCTCTTCTACAAGAGGCACATCAGGAGACATTGCCTCCCAGGCAGGGGCATCGCTCTCCTCCACGTAAACATCACTCCCCTCTTGCACCACAGGTGATACAGGAATGAAAAATCGTGAATCCTCACACTCCCTTGCCAGAGCAGACTGGTCGGAGGCATGTGTTTGCCCTTTCACTTCCGTAAATGGTGACTTCAAGATGTCCCAGGACAGAGTATCTGTATGTGGTACCACCCTGTCTCCTTCAGCCTCCAGCTCCTCTGAAAAGTGACCCGAGTCCTTGGCCACCAGTTCATGCTCTTCCCTGGCCATGCTGGGGTGCAGCTCAGTGGCATCAATTCCAAAGCTGTGTTCCTCGGAGACAGCTTTTCCCCTGCGCTGCCTCATCTCAGAAATACCATCTGTATCCCTCACACTTTCTTCTGTATAACCTGTTTCTTGCCTTGCATAAACTTCCATGATATCCAGCACCATCGTTTCCTCCATCTCACTTTCCCTGAAGTAAGGAGTTTTCTCACACTCCTCTTCCAACTGCTCACCAGGAGATGGAGACAGCCTCAGGGACCAGGGTAGGTGGGATTCCTCCTCCTTGGAGCATGTCATCTGTTCCTCTTCACCCTTCCCAAGTGTGCTGAGGCCTTGGAGGTGCAGAACATGGTCTGTGGCAGGCAGTTCCTCAGTGCCTCCATCCTTGCTATATAACCTGGGTGCACTGGGCTGCACTGTCAGCTCAGAGGCAGTCTGCGCTGTTCCAGCCACATTCTTGGCCACACAACAATACAGCCCAGCATCCGCGACAGAGACCCCTTGGATGTGTAAGCGGTACATGCCATTCTTGCCTTCCTCAAACCTCAGCCTTTCGCTGGCAGAGAGACTCCGGCCATTCAGGGACCAGGCCACAGCTGGTGGGGGCTGCCCAGACAGAGCACACTCCAACACCACTGCCTCTCCTTCACGGCAATGAATGTGTGCTGGGGCTTCTGCCACGATTTGGGGTGGCTCATTTCCCACATCAAATGAAAACTTGAACTTGTGCTTTATGGTGGGAGCAGCCTGGTCTGGAGAGGGCCGTGTGGTCTCCCTCATCTCTGTGTCTTGCTCTGGCGTTGGAGTGGGGGCAGTGATTTTGATTTCCACAGGCAGCGACAGCAAGTCTGAGTCTGGAACTGCATTTGACAGTCCCTGCTCTGCTGCAAAGGCCAGGCCGACTTCTTCTTCCTCCTCCATCTTCTCCTCCTCCTCCTTCTCTTTCTCCCCTTCTTCTTCCTCTGCCACCTTCTCCTCCTCCTCCTTCTTCTCTTTCTCCTCTTCTTCCTCCTTCACCTTCTCCTCCTTTTCCTCCTCCTCCTCCTCTTTCTTCCTTTCCTTTTCCTCCTTCTTTGTGGCCTCATAGGCTGGCATCCGCCGCCTTACATGGAGTGCAGCTGAGGTGCTGACTGTGCCCAGTGGGTTGAAGATCACGCAGGTAACGGTGCCACCATGCTGTGGGAGCAGGGATGGGAAGGTCAGTGTAGAGTGGCACTCTGTGGTGTGAACGGCGGTGCCCCGGATGCGCCCCACGGGCTTGGTGTTGTTGTACCAACTGACTGTCGGCTGTGGGCGACCATGGAAGAGGCAGGAGAAGGTGCATCTGTGCCCCTCAACAGCCTCCTGTGGCTTGATCTCCTGGACGAAGAGGGGTGGGCAGGGCTCCAGGAGCCCACCTGGCATCTGCCATCTCTCCCCTGTGGCCTTGGGCCTGTGGTACCCTTTCACTAGCTGCACCGTGAGGCGCTCTGAGCCATCCATCGTGGCAACCACCTCAGATGGGCTGGGCTTTCCAGGAGGGCTCTCCTGGGGCATGGACACGAGGGATTCCTGCTTCTTTTTCAGTGCTGCCCTTTTTGCCTCCCGCAGCCGCTGCAGCTTCCAGCGGATCTCCTCATCCAGCAGCTCCTCAACATCTGCCACTGTGCCACTGTTCTCCCTACCACATGCCAGCCCTGGACGGTGAGGGCCCACCAGCGGCAGCCTCTGGAAACAGATGGTTCGTACCATGCCCCGGGCTGGGGAGAGGTCCCCAAGCAACTGCTCAGCCTCCTGCCCCTTGTCGAAGGGAGAGCCAGTGCAGCGGAGCACCACGCACAGCCGGTCCTCCCGCCGCTGCTGCAGCAGGCACTCCCAGTTCTCCCGCATCCACTCTGCTTTCCCTGCGAAATCCAAGCCCGGCTGCTCCCCACTGCGTGCCACCAGCAGCGAGGCAGTGGACTCAGCTGAGCCCTCACTGTTAATGGCAAATACCCTGTAGCTGCCAGCATCGTGCTCCCGCACATCCCGCAGCTCCAGGCTGGCATGGTGCGTGTGCTCCTCACTCTCAGTGCGGATCACCTTGCGGCAGTCCTGGTGGACCGGCCGGTTGTTGTGAAACCAGGCCATGTGGGGTGCTGGGCATGCCACCAGCTTGCACTGGAAGAGTGCAGGGTCCCCCTCCAAGACAGACCTACACTTAAGTCCCTGTGTGAAGGTCGGTTTACGGTTCTGGGTGCAAGCCAGCACCGCCGCTGTCCCAGGTCCCTCGAGGTTCACTTTGCTGTGCTGATCTGCAAGAGAAGGAGACTGGGTTACAACATGCCACACTCTGCCTGCTGTCTGATTGAAAAAAAATGAAATAGCAATATATTGAAATAAAAAATGGGCATGCAACAGATTTCATCACACACCCAGGAAAAAAAAGTAATTCACTCACCATATTTGTTCGAATAAACGCAACGCCTTGCTCTGTTTTAAAGATTGACACGAAAATCGTTCGTTGTCTGTTCTTTCTTCAGACTGTGGAAATTTCTTCTTGAACAAGCAAAAATGAATTTCAAAATAACACGTTCTTCTGCGTGTATGTTTTTGCTGCCTGGAAAAGCTGTGTGTCTTTGGGTAGCAAAGAAGAAAATCTTACCTGACTTGCAGACAGTAGAATAAACGCCCTTTCTGACCCTTCTGTTTGTAGATTAAATGTTCAAACAATTGAGAAAAAATATTTTGAAAGATATTAAAAAAAAAGTAAGTAATTAGCTAACATGAAATGAGAAGGCGTTTATTCGAACTAATACAGCCGCTAACTTCACAGTGTTATGCACAGGGAAAAAAGCAAGCAACATGAACCACGTATGCTATCTGCAAGCCAGGGTAAGAGATGTATAATGATGAATTAATGTATGTAAAAAAAGTGCAAGGAATCAATGGGAATATGTAGCTTTCACATATCCTAAACAACAAATGCTTTCTAGTATACTTCATCCATCCATCCATCCAATAGTGTCCATTGAACTGATTAATGTTAGGTTGCTAACTTGTTTAAAATAGTATGGTTAAGGTTTGTATAACTTCCTTCTGAAGTAAACTATTCCATGCATTCAAAAGGAAATTGAACAAATAAAAGCTCTGTGGACAGTTGTAAAGCATGAAGTAAAAGTTAAGAATATGGCTGCAAAATTACAAATTTGAAGTTTTAAACATATTTTAAAACAAATAACCTTATAATGCAGGTAACCCTTTGCATATCAAAACAAACATGCAACATGTTCCAATATGCTTTAAAGTGTGTCTTTCTTTCCCATGCACGTAAGCAGATAAAAGCTTATCACAATGTTACTAATTACTGGTACTAATTATTCAGTGTAACATCATTGGTGACTGTACCTTTCACTTCCATTTCAATCTCTTCCTCTAGCTTCTCATGAATAATTTTTTCCGGAGCTAAAATCAAAAGACAAATATTTTTGAACTATAGTTGCTAAATATGCCAATCAACACTTTATGTAGAAAAAACATCCAATCTCTCTTGCAAATATACAGAAATTCACACATATATACACAAAAATGCATGCCAAACAATTCAAACACTTATAAGTTTTGAGAACACAGTAATCAAATGCTTTCAAACTTGTTTGCAATGTACACTTTTCTATAAGTTTTGCTTTCTTTTTTGCAGGGTGATGGAAAGTTTCTAATGTAACATGCCTTTATCATGCCTTAAATCCCTGAAGAAAACATTCAACAATCCACAGACTAATGAGATGCTTCTCATTCTTTATCATCTCCCAGGAAATGAATGTACTGGAATGCAATGATTCTATGCATGAGGAATTGATACTTGGAAGGAACATGCAGTTGCCAACCTGTCACTTTCAGATGGGTGCTGCACTCGGCTTCTCCTGCAGGGTTAACTATTCTGCACTTGTATACACCCTTGTGGTTCTGACCAACTTTCAACAATCTTAAACTGCACAGTGGCCCATCATGTTTTAGGGAACACAATGCAGACTCCTCAACTATTAGCTGATTGCACAGCCAGACCACGCAAGGTGTAGGCACACCCTTTATTATACAAAAGAGTAACACATCATCTCCTTCTTTTACAGTGGTTTCTGAAGGCAGAGTTTCAAGAAACTCTGGTGCTTCGGCGTCAGTTTCTGTGATGTCTTCACGTGGCACAACATCAGGATAGTAGACTCTGTTTCTTTGCTTCTCAGTTTCATATAGTCTTTGGGATGTAGATATAAACAAGCTCGAGGTTTTCTTGGAAGAGTCTTGCTTAACTTCAGATGCTTTAAACTGATAATCTTTGGCTGCTTTAAAGCTTTTAGTATCTGATTCAAGGGTAATTTTTGTTACTGCTTTGGCTTGTGCTTCTTTTGCTAGGTAAGAATAAAGTTAGGAAAAGGATTAGGTCAGATGTTTTGCAGGAATAAAAAATATCCTTATACTTTGGGGGGGGGGGAAACCAATAATTAACATTGAAAGAACGTCCAGCACATTAGTGCACTACTACACATTTAAGAGCTCTATTCTTGCTGGGCTAATTCTAGGTACCAGTTAAGCCTATGGGACTTTCATGGGACCAAGACTTGGTCTGTAACACCTAACACAAGCACATCTTTACTTTTATTTGAGAGCTTCAGTTTAGAAAGTAGCAGCAGAAGATTATGTAAAGTGCTTTGCACAGCTCAAGAGTGAAGAAAGAAACTTCAATATGTAAGAGCCAAATCAACAGGATCAATGGCTTCCTCATTATTCATCTTAGTTTTCTGCTCTTGTTTCCTTTGAGCTCAGCAGAAATATTATCACCTGTCCAGTGTGGTGATAAGAAATTTTTAGGTCTTTACTACTGGTAACATAACTAACATTTTAATATGCTGACGTCAGGAAGAAGTGGAAGGAGTCTTAGCAAAAATAAATACTTATATTTCAGGAGAGTGAAGGGTAGAAGACAACTCATTAGTGCAGTAATACAATACTCACACCCATTAATCCTTTCAAGTACATTGACCTATATTGCCAACCTGGGAATTGGAACCTTGGATTTATTGGAAACAAGTTGGACCTATAGAGTTTTAAATGACCAGGTATCTAGTTCAACATTTCTTATCTCACATTCTTATCTTCCTTAAATTCCAGCTTCAGGAATTCTCAGAATTTAAAAATTCCTACCAGCCTGTTTTGCTTTACATCTCACTGCATATCATGAAGGATATGAGGAATAAAAAGTCTCAGACATTCGTGACTTGCTGGGCAGAGGCTTGAAGTTACAATACCAACTTCCTGGTATTGCATATATCACTTATGAATAGAGCTGTAAATGTGGAGGAAAAACCTCAAAGCATTATTACTAGAGCTTTCTCAATTAAATACTGATAATAAAGGAAATATGAGTGAGCTGTAGGCACTCATATAATGAGGTGCAAAAGGTAAGTCATAATGTTAAAAGTCAGATAACCACCTTTGACTGTTAGTATTGCAGCAGTTGTTGTCCCTCCGTAATCATTATATACAGTACAACTGTACAGTCCTTGATCTGTCAGCTGGGCATTTAGGATTGTGAGCAGTAGGACACTTCCATTTTGTGATACCTTCAATTTTTCAGATGCTTCTATCCTTTCACCTTCATGGGCCCAAAGAAACTCAGAGAAGAATTCATTTTCTAAGCCACATATGAACTGAGCAGTGTCACCACGTTTCACAGTTAGATCTCTGAGCTGCAAGAGAATCTTTGGAGGGACATCTTTCATTTCCCGAGCAGTGGCCATAGAAATCCTGGTGCTCTGAGATGTTTGGGAAAGGATTGTTGCGTGCATGGCTTCCATTTCTTCGACTGATGTAGCCTTCATGGTCAAACTTTCTGATACGCTTTCAAAAACCTGTACACCCAATTCCTGTGATGGTTGTTGCACTGATTTAAATTCTTTTTGATAAGTTTTAATGTTCTTCTTTGTGAGAGGAGCAACATGAAGTTCTGATATAGCCTGTGACCGGATAGACTCTTTTACATCTTTCCCAGAACTTTGCCTATCTAGGGCTTGCACTGTGTAATCAAGTAACAAAAATAACAAGAGTATTAGTATCTAAAGAACTTTACTGGGCCATGCTTTGAACAAAACCAAACAGCATGGAGGATGAAAATGAATGATCTTCATTTGAAAACTCAGCATGCCAGATGCACTACGCTCTTGACACAAAGATTATCCATTCACATATATGAATGACAAGTGATGCCTAAGCTAGTCATGCAGTTGATACACAGTTGATGCTTGTCTCTTCTTTCACTGAAGTTGTCCATTTTAGTATTGGAAACTTATCATGGAACTTTTTAAGGAGGCATTTTCTTTTTTTTTTTTTTCCTACAGAATAGTGCAAAATACCTCAGTCAATGCTATAAAGATCACTTAATTGCTTGTTTTAAAAATCTGTATGCTTTCAGTAAAATGATTCTATTCTTTGACCTATATCAAGATACAAATTTGAAATTTCTGAATGTTACAGCTTAAACAGAAGAAATGAGAGTGGCTTGGGTTACAGAGGGTAGGTACTACTAACATTAGCTGGTAAAGAAAAGGTGTGAAACAAGGAAGGAAGAACATTAGTAACAACATAAAAGTCTGGTACACAACAAACTGAATCCCTTTGAAATAAAAATGGGGCTTTACCTTCTGCAGTCACTGTAAGTGTAGCTGTACAAGTTGTTTCTCCAGCACTATTTCTTGCCTTGCAAGAGTATTGGCCAGCATGCTCTAAGAAAGCATCTACTATTATCAGTATAGCTGTGCCTGTAGATTCATCGAAATGGAAAACTAAGTCTTTTGTTGGCAACATGAGTTGTTGATTATGAAACCATTGGATTTTTGGTTTGGGCATGCCAGAAACTCTAGCTTGAAATCTGACTGATTCCCCGCTGCATACCCTGCAGCTTGAAATAGGCTGGATAAAGGTGGGCCTTTGGCCAATAGACTCCTCCTTAAGTGAAACAGATGAAGAAACATGCCAATGGGACTCTGATGTAACTTCTTCAACCTTTTTAAATCCTGAAAAGAAGCATGCCAACTTTTAATTTCTTACCCTACACTACAATAAATTTTCTCTCTCATTCAAGATTTTTTTTCCTAACTTGCAACTTAACAGCATGAATTATTCTAATTCATCATTTATAAAATCTGTGGCAAAAAGAAAACAAAATATTTATGGTTAAATAATATCAAGGACAATATAGAACTTAAATAGCAAATTCTCCAGACAATGTTTCTACTCTAAAACTTTGGTCAATGTTTCATGAATTCATATGAATTCACTATTTCTTTTCAGCTGCCCAAGTGCCTGGTACACACATTTATTTAACATGTTTTCCAACACTTTCGAAGTGATTTATTTTACACAAAAACTCTTACTAGATTCTCCTCACAGTCAAATCAAACAATGTGTAAACTTCCATTAGAAAGAAGGTTTCTACCATGTTTGGTGCATGACAGATTCTAATACTGGAGAGAATGAAAAGGTGAGGTGCATGGAACATTGAAAAATTGTGAAATAAGTTTTCCTGGGTATGACCTATATTTTGGAGACATAAATGTATGCCGTGGACATTGTAAATGGTAGCAATTAATTGAGTTAAAAGACAACATGACAGACAATGACTCACATATAATCATCAGTGTATATTAAAATTAGTACTGGAACATGACCTAAACAAGGCATCTTCTTTAATTGCACACTGTACCTTCTAACTTCAAGGTAGCAGTGCTTGTCACTTGGCCTACAGAATTACTGGCCACAAAGGTATAGATTCCTTCATCCTCTGGATAAGCTTCAGCAATCTCCAGCTGGTAAGTGTCTTCAAACTGAGTCATTCTAAAAAAACGCGATGGCTTGATCTCTCTCTCTTTGCTGTACCAAGAGACTTTCAGATCTGCTCAAGCAAGAGAAAAAAGAAAAAAAAATGTGTAAGTTATGATATTAGACTAGTAACTACACACTATTTTTATACTTATATCTATCAGAAATCTTAATCTCAAGTATGTTTTTTAAGTTTAAATGTGCCTTGTATTACTTTGGTAATGTATGATCAGTGGAAAGTGGCTTACTTGTTGCTTTAAGTTTTGATTTCTGCATACAAGATATTTATATGGGAAAACTGATTGTAGTGCTGCTATATTCCTCAGTAAAAATAATTTTTCCTTTCCCCTCTTAATGTATAAATTTAAAAATATTTTGCTACTATTAAAATCAGAGAAAGTCTCATTTTTAAAAAGGAATTCTGCTATAATTGCCTGATTAAACAGGTTATAAAATCACTAGGTTGAGCTGAACAGGTTAAAGAAATTAAAACAGAATATCCTTTTGCTAAGGACAGTACCTTGCATCTTTTTGTTGCAAATATTATAAGTTCTACACCTCATATTTCTCAAGAAAGATCCTGCCTTTGTACCTTTGTAAAATTCATATATAAAATGTTGTGTTACTTGACTTGTACAGATTCTTGTAGACTTGGGAAAGAAGAGGACTGAAGCAGACTTTAACCTTGCCTCTCCACCTAGCACTATATTACATCATGAATCAAATGTTTTCACACAAATAGTGTTCTATTACTGTGGTCAGAAGAAAGAGACAGTGTTTTCAATAGCCAGCTGAGTAGTGTGTACCGTTAAAAAAATGTATTTGTAACCACGTATTTCCTAACCTAATATAAAAGGTTTTCACAACACAAGTGAGAAGTATGCAAATCCATTTGGATACAGTATTCAATAAAGGAAATTTTCAATAGGAAAAATTTCTTCACCGAAAGGGTTATCAAGCATTGGAACAGGCTGCCCAGGGAAGTGGTTGAGTCACCATCCCTGGAGGTATTTACAAGATGTGTAGAGGTAGCATTTAGGGACACGGTTTAGTGGTGGACTTGGCAGCATTAGATTTACAGCTGATCACATTTTACTGACACAGTTTTTCAACATCAGTTAGCATTTTAAATGCTGAGAAGTTTCCAAAGACAAATTTTTTGAAACAGACTTTCTTTTTAGAAATGCTTAATGTTTATGGCAGTTTGAAACTTCCATGCTTGATGCCATCTTTGACATATGACTTGCTTAACTGGTAGCTGTCAGTAACACTGCTGTGTGCGTATATCAAATAACAGTACTTCTAG